AGGTGATTTAACTATGGTGAGACCTCTGAACGTGACATCTACCCTCCCAACAAATGTGTTAAGTAGGCAATGCATATTGCCGGCTAGGCACCGTGTCGGACAGAGCTCCAGAGCTGATTCTTCTTGCCTGCCTGAAACTACATGCCCGTTGACTAGTCTCCCCTTTCCACCGGCTGGTAACCAAAACTTTCACTCTTTGATTCTATGAATTTGACTTTTTCAGAGACCTCGTGCAAATGGAGTCATGCAGTACTCGTTTTTCTGTTCCTGGCTGATATCACTTAGCAAAATTGTCCTCCAGGTTCATCCATGTTGGTGCATGTTGCAGAATTTCTTTCTTCTTTTTTAAGACTGAATAATATTCCATTTGTATGTATGGACCTCATTTTCTTCATGCATTTATCTATCGGTGAAAATTTGTTTAGGTTGTTTCCACATCTTGGCTATGTGGGCAATGTTATTAATCCCATTTCACAGATGAGACAACTGAGACTAAAAGAAGTCAAGTAACCCAGATTCAAACATCTGGGAACTTGCCCAAACCAGGTCATGCCCAACTCCAACTCCTACATGCTAATGCCGGATGTGTGCCAAGCATTTGCAGCCACAGGATTAAAAATTACTGGGTGTACATTTTATTCGGCACACTTTATACACAGCATCTAGAACCCAGCAACCTCATCTGGCCTGGCAGACATCCCCTTACGTGCACCTTCGTGAGGGCAGCAAAGCAAGTCAGGAGGGAAGCCCAGATCCCAGGCCAGGCAGTCAGATTCCAAAGGCCTGTTTCTGCCACTCCAAGTCGTTCTTCTCCCTGCCTGCAAAGAACACCACTGGGGGAGACTTCTAAAATGCTGAAACCCAGGCCTCACCCTGAGAGAGTCTGAATCCGTTGGTCCAGGGCGGGGCACAAGCTTCTGCATTATTTTTAAAAATCCCCTCGGGAGATTCTAATAGTTCGCGGGGCAGCCAGGGCTGACCACGCCAGGTTGCTCCTCTCACCTGCCAGGCCCCGGCCACGTCACTGAGCTCGAGCACGCGGCACACTTCCTGCCCTCGGAGGCTGCCTGGCCGGCAGGGAGCTGAGCAGTGACCAGGCAGCCTCATCCAGTGAGAGACATTTCCTGACAGGGGCGTTGGAGGCTGCCAAGGGAGGTCGCAGGAGGAAGGTCTGGGCCAACACAGTTTGGGGAGGGCATGGAACTGGCAGGAAAGAACTCTGTGGAAAAGGGGACATTTATTATGAGAGTTCACCAAAGACAAAGGGAGGAGAAAAACAAACCTGCCCCCTCGTCTCCACTCCTCTTTATTGCTAAACGGGCTGCATGAAACCACCCCCACGGACGGCCCGCGGCCCCGCTCCAGGGGGGAGTGTGCGGCGTGTGCCCGTCAGCCTGGGAGCTGCAGCCTCATAGACGGACTCAGTTCGGCCGGACTCGGAGAGGTCAACTCTCTCTTCAGCTCTAAAAAGACGAATGAAGACCTGGCTGAAGAATTGCTAGAGAAGGTCGGGCGCGGTGGCTCACGCCTGTAATCCTGGCACTCTGGGAGGCTGAGGCGGGTGGATTGCCTGAGGTCAGGAGTTCAAAACCAGCCTGAGCAAGAGCGAGACCCCGTCTCTACTATAAGTAGAAAGAAATTAATTGCCAACTAATATATAGAGAAAAAAATAGCCGGCATGGGTGGCGCATGCCTGTAGTCCCAGCTACTCGGGAGGCTGAGGCAGGAGGATTGCTTGAGCCCAGGAGTTGGAGGTTGCTGTGAGCTAGGCTGACGCCACGGCACTCACTCTAGCCTGGGCAACAAAGGGAGACTCTGTCTCAGAAAAAAAACAAAACAAAACAAAACAAAAAAGAGATCTGTCATTCATTCTAACTGGGAAACTCAGCCAGCGAGGCTACAAGAGTCCAGATATTCTATTTCTTGGGCCACGTGTGACAGGGCAGCCTTCACGTCCCCAATCCCCAGCCGTGATAAATCAGAACTTCCAGGCAGACCCGGGGGTCACGGGAAGTACCCTTTACACAGCCCTGGCCCCGCTGTCGGAAAGAACACGTTGGCGTCCAGTCGGCTTTCCAAGGGCCAAATCCATCACCTGCATTTCAATTCCCTTTTCTCCTCAAATACCAGCAGCGAAACTGCGCGGCCCCGTCAGGACTCTCAGCCATGGACGCTGAGACCACGGGAACTGAGAAACAGGTCGGCCTGCGGGGTGCGGAGGCCGCCGTGTGGTTTCATTTAACTAGGTTGCTGGAAAGCCCCGCGCCCACAATTACCCCCTGAGTCCCCATATCGCCACACAGTGTAGATGTCCCGTCTGGCGCCCATTCCTGGGGATGAGGCAGCGGCGTGGGGCAGGAGCGCAGAATCTGTTGCTGAATCTGGATCCTTCGTGCAGGGAAGAGCTCCCAGGGCTGTCCCAGTGCCCCGTGTGGGAGCCGCCAGGGAGCAAAGCTGAGGGATGCCCAGCCCCGCCCTGGAGAAGCCCGCCTTCCAGCTGCTCCGGTGGAAACAAGCCCCGGGCCCCTAGGATGCCGAGTCGGAGGTGGCCCAGGAGCCCAGCGTGGGGCTGTAGGTGGCCCAGGTGGGGATGTGCAAGGAGGGCCACCTCGAGCCTGTGACACCTGAGCTGAGGTTGATGGATGACAGGGAGGACAGGAGAGAAAACGAGGTGGAGCTGGGGTGAGGGTGGGGAGCAGTGTGTCTAGAGACCTGGGGCAGCGAGGCCAGAACCCTCCGGGGGAGCCGGGAGGAAGGGGTGGGCCTCTCTGAGCCCCCGTGCTGTGCCAGGGAGGCAGAATGGTGCCCTAACACACTGGAAAAATTTGGGTGACCTTCTGGCCAAAGTGAAGCCCCATCAGACACCTGTTTCAGAAAGACCCCGCTCGGCAGCAGGGAGGGCGGGGGCAGCCTGCAGCCCAGGGCGAGGAGCCAGGGTGTCCCGGGAAGCCGGACGGGGGGCACTGGCCGATGGGAGGGACGCAGGCTTGGAGCAGGTGACTGGATGTGAGCAAGGAGGGAGGAGGGGGCTCCAGGATCACAGGAGATAATCACGGCTGCCATGTGGTGCCTGCTAATCGCCCTGCTAAACCCTTGACTGCATCACTCTACTGTCTTCACAATTCCTGCCCCTAGTGGCTGTTATTGCCTCCATTTCGCAGAAGAGGAAACCAAGACACAAGCAGCTCAGACACAGAGCTAGGAAATGCCATCTGAGGCCGCCTGTTCCCAGGGTCCCCTGTTAACCACGGCCGGGGGCACCGGGCCAGGCTGGCTCTCGGTGGGCGGCCTGAGCGGCGGTGCGGATGGTGCTGCCGGTCCCGGGAAGGAGGATGCCAAGGGAGAAGACTTGAGCTGAGACACCGGAAATGGAACATCCAGGGCAGCGCTGTCCAGGGGAATTCTGTGCTATGTTCTAGAATAGTCTCTAATTCTGTGCAGTCCAATACGGTAGCTATGAGCCACACATGGCTAGTTCACACTTGAAATGTGGCTAGTGCAAACGAGGGACTGAATTTTAAACTTCATTGGATTTTAATTAACATTAATTTTAGTCCCTGCGTGTGGCAACTGGCTACTATAGCGGTTAGGGCAGACCTAGGGTTTGCAGCCAGCGAGCACTGTGCATCTAAAGCTCAGGAAGCCTCCTGTGCTAGTGATTTCTGAACAATGCTTTCCACCTGGCAGCTCCAGGGCTGCCTGGCTGGTGTCACGCGGCCCCACTTGGTTAGACAGCTAAGGCTGGGGGGGCTAAGTTAGGTCCCACATTCACGTGTGGGAGACCAGGGCATGGCACAGGAAACCCGGTTCTGGAGCCCGTGTGCTCAGCCCCACCCCCAGGCCCCATGTCTGCCACCAAGCAGGATGAGAACACAAGTCTCTGAGTTTGGGGACCGCCAGGCATGGGTGAAATCACAAGGGTGCACGAGATCACTCCAGGTGTGCGTAGAATATATGAAAAAGTGCTGAGGACACAGTGGTAGGGGACATGGAGAAGAGAAAGGGCCTCTAAGGGAGCTTGGAGGAAATGCTCCCCAAAATAGTAGGAAAATCATCATCTCGATTCACTTTCCTAAACTGTCCACTCATTCATTTTTAGCTAACAGAAGAGAAATAGCCTGGTCCTCAGGGAGTCCATGTTCAAGGGACCACATGGCAAGGTGGAAAGAGATGTGGCCTGGGACAGAGGCCGGTGCAGGGCCAGAGCAAGGACAGGGAAACGAGCGCTCGCCTCTGGCAGTCGTGAGCAGGGAGGGCTTCTTGGAGGAGGAGACAGCAGCCGTTCTTAGAAGCCAACGCCCCTTGCACGGAAAAGTGGAATCATTCCCTTGAATAACTCAAGTGAATTCCAAGTGGAACAAACAGTCGATGTCGTCTTTTTAAGCTTTTGGAAGTGGTCTCGGTAAGGTAAATGCCTTACAGAGGATGACATGAAAAGTGCTAGTAAGTGGTTTTCACAAGGTCATTATTTTTACTGGAATCATAAAATTTTGAGCAGTTCTGTTCTTATTTTTAAAAAGAAAAACTCCAGAAATGGATTAGAATGCCAAGTGAAGTTTGTTTGTTAGTTCCGTTAAAATATTACCTGCCAGAGCAAAGAATGTGCTATAATTATCATCCGTGCCCAATGCGTGCTAAATACCATCTACACGCGACCAGTGGTTTATATTCCTTTCAACTGCTCAGTGCTGCTATTTCAACCGTTTCAGAGAAATAATCTTTAGCAACTTGAATTAGAGTTTAAAGAAATGAGACTTGGGCTCAAGGATAAATAGTATCACTGCCTCGATTTCATTGTTTCAAATACAAGATTTTATTTTGAGAAGAAAGTTTAATTAAGCAGAGGTGGCTCACTAAATCCTTTGACTTCAAAAATCGTACTTTCTGCAAGATTTCACCTGTGAAATTCACAGCCTTTAATTATTGCCTCACATGTTAAAAGAGAGAACCTTTCTTCTGAATGGCTAATAACGTTATTATAAGAGGTAATTACAGATCAGATGTCTGTGTCGATAACACCAAAGCGAGTGGATGGTTTTTGAACTTTGAAAGTAATTTGTTAGGGAAACACTTTCTCCCCCAAAACAATGTTGATGTTTTGGATTTGTTGTGGTTTTCTTTTTTTTTTTTTTTTTTTTTTTTTTTTTTTCTTTTTAAGGGGGAAAAAGAGAAACATTTAGAAATCAGTCCTTTACTGGATGAATTTCTTCACTTCCCAGAAAGCAAGAAAACAATTGTTTCCTGTAATTGGACAGTTTGATTGGAGGCAGGTGGCGCTGAGCTGAGACAACTGGAGCCACAAAGCCAATTTTGGCTTCGAGCACATTTCCTTTCGTTCTGAGCTCCCGCAGTACAACATGTAAATTGGCTCCACAAAAGCCGACTATAAATTTAGTTCCTGTTTCTCTAACAAGCACCTTATCAGCGATGAAAAAGTTTTAGCAAACGGGGACAGTGTGCAGAGCTGACATGATTATAAAGCTGCCCTGAGATACCCCAGCATTAATTTCTTGAGCATGTTCTTGCTGCCACAAAACAGGGATTTATGAGCAATTCTGGAAGCAATCATAAGCCATCATTTGAAAATATGGTGATATTTTCTTTTTCCAGGTTAATTGGCCTTTGCATTGCTCGTGTTGCATTATCTCGAGTTAATATTTGCTTTCAATATTTCTGAGTGACCGGCCAAATCAACACGATTTGTCGCAGGTTTCAAACATCAGTCCTGAGAAGGGGCCAAACTTTGAGGCTTGGGGAATAAATAGGAGCCGTTTATTATTCTCTACTGCTTTTCATCCGTCTTCTGAGTCCTTTCCTCATTTCCCTTCCCACATGCCGGTGCACGCATCTTTCCCCCTGCAGGACAGCGGACAAGCAGCCTTCCTCTTTTACAGATGGGAAAGCTGAGGCCCAGAGAGGTTAGCTGCCTCGACCAATGCCACACAGCAAGTCAGGAGCAGCTCACCGTTCCAACTACACGTTTATTAATGTCCTCCCGACTGTGGATCCATAACATGAAATCAGTCATTTATAAGAAACCTGGGGGCGAGGAAAGGCAGGAGGAAACTTACATGGTAATTCTCTCCAATTTTCATCTTTGTATACTCTACACACTAGAGTGGTGATGCTTTTTAAAGTCCAGCACATTTTATTATTATTATTTTCAGGCCATGCTTAAAAACTTAGAAATGTCCATTTAATGTCTAGGTGAGTTTTAAGCTTCTTATTTATCTTTAGAACTTGGAAATAACCTTTTCTGACCCCAGTAGATTAGCGGCTGAAATTATGTCATCTGTATCATCCTCAGATGCAGTTCACCTGTGGGTCCACGTGTTCGCACAGAATTATTCCACCGGAACAGAAGGCAGGGTTTGCCGAGCGCCCCGGAATTGCAACACTCTTCGTTTGCCAAGGTGATTACATCAAAGGAAATGCCACTTCCGGGCCAGTGAGTACCTGAGGTTCCCGATCTTGCCTTCGTCCATGAGGGTCTCAGCACCCTGACACCGGGAGACAAGGGGTCTCCTGGTGTGACGAGGACACTTTTAATCCTTGGCTGAAGGCACTCTCTAAAGACATGCTAAGTCCAAAATCGGGATGATTTGTCCCCCCAGGCTATTGGAGGAAGGGTTCTCCTGCCCTTTTTCCTGTTGCAATTACCCTGCTCGGCCCAGAAGAGCAGCTTCACGTGGCAGCCACCCCAGTGGCTGCTGGTGGCAGGCAGGGAGATAGAGAAGGCACCCGCGCAGACACTGCCAGCGCTCTCTAAAAGGGCTTGCACGCTGATTAAACCTGTCAGGAGGCAGGCCGAGTTTGCACAAGGAGTGCTGGTTGATAGATAACTCAGCAATCTTGGCAACACTGCAGAACCAATATTTTTACAGAGGTGGCACTGTCTTAAACAATGTCCTCAGTGTGCAAGACACAGGCAGCACTCTTGTCAATATCCAGCAAGGGCGTCCGTTTCCCTCACCTCTTCTGGACACACAGGCTGGTGAAGGGGCCAGCAACGGGGGTGGGGGAGAGCAGGGGTGGGCGGGACACGGAGGGGAACAGGAAAGCCATTTTAACGATCACTTTCAATAACGCAGCTACCTCCCTCCACTTGGCACAGACCTGGCCAGGCCGGGATAAAACAGGTGTTGCAGTGATCAGCTGAAACCAGCCCCTCCGCCCTATTTGTTTTTCCTGCACGGCCCTCGGTTTAACCACATCCAGCCCGCAGCACGTTGCATTTGTCCTCAGCCAGACCCAAGACCAGCCGCGGCCGCGGCACTTCCCCCGTCAAGCGTGGCCTTGTCAGCAGTATCAGCGCTCCTGGCCTCCTCCTCTCTTCTCCGGCTGCTCACCTTCTCTGGAAAGTTCCCACCTAACCCCCCTCAAGGGCTTTAGCACTCTTGCCCAAAATACCTTTCTCTCTGTATAATGCCATTTCTTCCCAAAGGCTGCGCCTTATCCTGAAAAAAGAGGAAAAAAGGAATTCAAGCTTTTGACCATCCGATGCAGAGGGAAGGTTGTCAGAGCTTGGTGGTCCAGCGGGGTAAGGTGGACACAGTCTCAGTCCCCCGGCAGCACACATGTGGAGGCGGGCAGGGGGCTGAGACGGGACTGTCCCCACCAAGCGGAACACAGGGGAGAGGCTAACAAGACGGGTTCTATGCACCTACTGCAGTAGCTTCCTGGGGCTGCCACGGCAGGGAACTCACGGTCAGGTGCCTTCCCGACACCGGAAATGTATTCTCCCACAGTTCTGGAGGCCCGAAGTCCAAAATCAAGGTGTTGGCAGGGCCACGCTCCCTCTAGACCTGCAGGAAAGAATCCTTCATTGCCTCTTCCAGCGCCTGGCAGTGGCCAGCAGTCCGGGGCCTGCAGCTGTAGCACCCTCATCTCTGCCCCCAACATCACATGGTGTTTTCCCTGTGCTCTGTGTCACACCTGAGTCCAAGGACAGCGTGCCCGAGTCTCAGGGTGCTGCAGACCTGAGTCCCGGGATGTGGTGCACCTGACCCTGGGGGCTGTGCCTCTCCACTGCGGGGGTGCTGCAGGCTCCATGCCTGCCTGACAGCAAGTCCCTCGGCCAGAGAACTCACATTTCAGAGTCTGACAGTCGGTGGAGCGCTGTCACAACCCTTGCTCTTTTGATTCTTACCACAGTGCTATGAGCTAGTGCTCTCACTTCCATTTTACATAAGAGGAAACTGAGGCCCAGGGAGCTCAAGCAACTTACTTACCCAGAATCACCTGTCAGTGGGTGACAAAGCCAGGACACAAGCCCAGGCCTTCGGACCCCAGACCTCACATCCTGTCTGCCTGAGCCGCTCACCCTACAGGTGGGAGTGTAAGTCAGCACACACTTTGAAAAAATGGTTATAGCCATACATATCCGAAGGATTGGAAATGAATGTGTTCTACATTTTGACCTGTTCAGTACCTTCTGGGAAGCCATCCAAATGAAATATCCCAGAATATGGGGCGATAAATCTTCATGCACAAAGATGTGGATAAAACTTGGAAAACATCTAAATATCCAACAATAGGGAAATAGAAGTACATTAAACTAAGTACATTTAACTATGCATTTATTAAAAAGACATTATTTAGAAAAAGATAGTAAATACATGAAAACATTATGACTTTAAATGAGGATGAAAGACTCCAAAACTGGATGTGCATTATTTTCCACAAGTTTATGAGAAACCGTTCACCGAGCACCAACTGCAAGCCAAGCTCCGTCCAGTATCAGGGACGAAACAGAGAATGGGGAGCACTTAGATCCTGTCCCGCGCAGCCTACAATCAATGGGTCAGCACAAGCATGCAAGAGAACTAACGCAGAGATAAAAATAGACCAAAACAAAACACATCAAAAGGTAATAGCAGTTCATTTCTGGTTGTGAAAATACAGGTAGTTTCTCTTTTTTTCCTCTTCTTTTTACTCTTTTGCATTTTCGAATATTCAGCAATGACTAAGTGTTACTATTTTATTTTCTTAAAGTCCTTCTCCCTCCTGTCCCTCCTCACCTGGTCCACACCCAAGGCTTGTAGAGAGACCACAGGTGCCAGGACGTGGGCCCCTCTCCGGCCGGTCGCTGTTGGGTAGCCCAGAGCCTGACGGGTCCAGGGAGTTCAGCAAGCGCCCCTGGCGGGGCAGCCCGTGTGAAGAGGGCTCCGCTTGGCACAGAACAGATGTGAACGTGAACCCCAGCTCAGCCACCTCCCTGCTGCCCTCTGGGCCCTCTGCCTTCCATTCGCTCTCCTGTGGGGCGAGCACCCCTCCCCCACCCCCTCCCCTGCACAGTGATGTGCATGCCACAGAGAAGTGGCGTGAGCAATAGGCGCCCAATTAGTGAAGGTCATTATTTATCGAACTTGACTGAACCCAGGTCACCTTCAGCAGGCGCCCTAGTCCCGGCGTTCTGCCCCTGCTTCCATTTGACAGATGTCCCCAGGCCCATCCACGTAACCGGCCATCTCTGCAGAGTGATGCCAGGGCGCTGGGCGGTACGAGAGTGAGGGCGGAGGGTCTGTAAAGCGGCATCCACGTGGCCTGGGGGTGGCCGTGTCTCCTCCCAAGAGAAAGACTCCAGAGCAAGCCCCTCGTGGACGCCCCTCCGCGCGCGGAGAGACCAGGCTGAGGCTGCCGGGCCCAGGAGGGGCTGCGCCGGCCCCCCCCGGCCGGGCCCTTTCCGGGGGGGGGGGGCGGCCCGGCCGGCCCGCTCCCTCTCCTCTGCGCGCCTCGCCTCAGTGGCCGGAAGAAAGTGCGCGTGTGATTGGCGCCGCAGTGCGCCGTGGGACGTGGACAATGCCAGTGATGAGGGTAATTTTCAAGCGATTCGAGATAAGGCACCCACGTCTCTCTCCGACCCTGGCTGCCATTTTCTCACAATGGGCGGATGATGACGTTCGCCGCGTCTGATAGCTGCTCCCTCGGCAAGGAAAGATCAAAGCAGAGTGAGCCCAAACAAGCAGAAGACGGGCAGACTTTAGGGCTTAGGTGAGTTGCTCTGTCTACGCCGGGCGTCTCTGAATCTGAAGAGAGTCTCTCTCCTTCCCCTCCCCGTTTCCCAAATGAGTCTGCTCTAGTGACAAATACCCAGGGAGAGGCACGTGCCAGCTCGGTCTGGAGCAGGCACTTTCCCCTGCGCCACCGAGAGGAACCCGGGACGGCAGGTGTCCCCCCCTCCCCGTCTGCCAGCTCTGGCCGCAGTGAGACCAGGGCCAATTTCCTCCCTGTGTTTCCAACACTGCCGAACAAGCCGCCGTGCTCTCTGTCTGCCGTGTTTATCACAACTCCTCCCTGAGCAAAACCTGCCCGTGGGGTTCCGTGGGGCGTGCACGTGCCAGCCAGCACGGAGGGGTCTGCGCACGCATGGACACCCGGGAGGCAGAGTGTCTCCCCCGTCTCCCGCACCCACAGGCGCCAGCGCCAAGTCCTCAGGGCCCAGACAGCTCGCAAGCCCCGATCTCAGTTGTTCAACGCCAAACCATGACCCGTGGGAGGTGCGTGAACCATGGTGACCAGCAGGAGAACGTGTCTGTACGCTTACTTGTGTTTTCCACCTGTGGAAATCCACACTGCGGCATTATCGCCGGGAGTCCGAGGTGAGGCTGTCGGCGGGGCTGCTTTCTCCCTAGGCCGCTCTCGGTGGCTTGTAGCTGTGATAAGGAAAACCTCATCTACTACTTGGCAGCACATCGGCCACCGGAGACCCCCGCCCCTCACGGGAGACACGCATCAGCATAACACTAACCTGTCATCATGACCCAGCAACTCACCTACTACCTGGTGCATCAGCACAACACTGAGCCTATTACCTGGTGCACCAACTACCCTATTACCTGATACATCAACTAACCTATTACCTGGTGGGCATTAGCAACCTGATTCCCCACCCCTCGGACTACCCCAACTTCATAAAAGTGGGGAAAATTGGGCAGACAGGGCTCAGAATCAGGTGGCCAGGGCCCTCTGAGCCCACCGGCGGATAAACTTTGATTCTCCTCCCACTCTGCGTGCGCCGCGTGGTTTCTCCTCGGACCACCCACTGTGACACTTGCTGTGACAGCCGCCGTCCTCTCCCTGTGTCTTCTTCACTCATCTTCCTCTGCGCGTGTCTGTGTCCTAATCCCTGTTCTTATAGAGATGCCGGTCACACCAGATCAATGGCCTCATTTTAACTTAATTAACCTCTTTAAAGGCCTAGGCCTTCCTATCCCCAAATCTATCGCATCCTAAGGTACTGGGAGTTAGGACTTCTCAGATGAATTTGGGGGCGCACAGCTCAGCCCGTGACATCCAAACCGCTATTTTTGCAGAGGAGCCAGCTGAGGCCCAAAAGGCCAGTGGCTTTTCCTAGATTTCAGCGCAAACTGGCGTTAGAGATCGCAGTGGAGTGCCCCTGCCCTGAGCCCGGCGCCTCCCCTGTCCCACGGCTCCTGGAGCCATGCGATCACGCCCTGTGCCGAGTTGAGTTCCTATCGGCTCACCTGTGGGAAAGCATCGGGTTTAAAGACAAAAAGCTAGGGGATCAGATTCACTTGCCAGCTGGGCAGCCTCTGACAACTCATGTCAAGCTCCCAAAGCCTAAAAAACCTCGTCTGTAAAATGGGAAGCTTAATCCTAAATGCATAAGCCTGTGTAGTCTCTACCTCCTGCAGCGGGATGCACCACGGACAGGGGTGAGGACAGGGTGGGAGGGCGCCAGGTGAGCAAGAGTATGAACAGGGCTCCCACACAGCATGGAAACTGGCCGAGAACATACTTTATACATGCTTTGGAAGTTTAATATTATAGTAATAGCCTAAATTAAATCACCAATGATGCACACCAAATTCGGTTGGCCTCTTTGCGTTTCTGTATTGTTTGTGAGAAAAAAGCAGACTATTGTTCTTCTAGAGTGTTCAAGACTACAGAGCCCCCAAATGATAGACATGTCCCCGAGTAGGTCCGGTGGCCAGCTTTCCCTGTCTTCTGTGTGTCACCTGTCGAGGAGCGGGCCACATGAGGCCCTCCAACATTCTAGAAGACAGAGAAATCCCAGGGTTCTGGATCCTGGTGCCATGTTGAGTCGTGGTGTGCAAACTCCCTCTCAGGACTCCCTGTTGCTCGCCTATAAAGTCAGGGGGAAGAAGAAGGATGTTTGCCGTACTCTGTGGCACTGGGGATGGGGAGAAAGGACACGGCCTCTTAAATGGGGGGACCTGAATTTGACCTGGCATATGGGTGGCCCCAATGGCTGAGGCCCCTCTGCGTCTTAACCTGTGATGGGGGCAAGGGAGCCCGTGCTGTAACGGGGCCTCGCAGCATGCTCGTTCAGCTCTTTGCGTGAGTGAGCATCACGTTGCGTTGTGAGTTTCCTCCAAATACTCATGCAAAGCTCTGGGAACAGGGTCTGGCACAGGGTGGGCGTTTAAAATATACGTTCGTGTCCCCCACATGCCCCGACAAGCACGCAGCACGTGCAAGGCCTTCTCCGCCCCAGCTGCGGCAGATATTCCAATACCACCTGAAATGTGCAGAGCGCAGTCCAGAAAGTGCTTCATGGCCCCCAACATACAATGGGTGATCGCTCAGTGTCCTTGGCTGGAACGCTGGCTCATCTGATGCTCTGACCTCCAGAAGCGACGTGACCTGCATCGGTGACCCTAACCTAGGACTTCTGACTCCAGGGTCAGGGCTCTTGCCAGGCAAACAGGTAAAACTTTTCTTCTTCCTTTGCATGAAGTCAGGTGACCCATACAGCATGAGGACAGTGACGACATTTCGAGGCCAGGACATTGAACTTGTGGTTCGAGTTTGCCTTTGCACCGCGTGGCTCACTCCTCCTCCCAAGGTCTCCCTTGAAGTTTTTTCGTTCGATTACCAGCCTTCTCCTAGCGTGGCTCCCATTCTTTCTTTCAGGCTAAATGCTTCCAGCCAGTAAAACTAAAGGAAGGTAGGGAGGGACGGAGGTTATTATATTTCTAAATATATAAATATATTTTATATATGTATATTTCGCCCTGACGTTCTATTTTCCTGTTTCTTTAATGAGATGTGGATATAAACTGAATGTTCCCCCTGTGAGAATCGAGTACGTCTTTCAGGTTTCAGCCAGTCAGAAACCTCCAACTGCCCCAGACGTTCCCATCGCCCCTTTTCGACCCTGCCATGGGGCGTCAGGAGGCAAGGCAGGTGGGTCTGCCGTCCTGAGAGCCCCGGGGGCCGGCTGCCACCCTTCCCGGCCCACACTCCACCGCCCTGTCACCGGGTGGGCAGGCTGCTCGGTGTTCACGGTTCTCCCCAATTTGATGAGGTTTCGGACGAGGCAGACTCCTCCCTGGTAGGTGCCATCCTTCACCCTCCCCCACCTCCCGTGCGGGGCCCCGTCCCCAGGACGTCCCACACAATGCCACCCCCGCCCCTCCCCACCTGAAAGGACAGTCATGTCCCGGGCCCAGCCCAGCGGTCGGGCACCGCTGGTGTTTGCGAAAAGGTTCGGCGCGAGAGACTCAAAGGCTAAATTCGGTAATAACACCACAATTTCACCAAAAAGCATTATAGTGATTACTGAGTTA